GTCTTCCGAGTTGTTATGATATGAGAGAAGTTTCGCCAAATCCTTGTCCGGACCGCCAAACAGGTCCCGAGAGTTGAGACAATAAATGCGAAACAAAACCAATAGTAGACTGAATGCCAAAAGCGATTCGCCGGCAATCAGTACGTTAGGTATGAGCGCATAGCTGTGCGCCGGTTTAATTAGGTAGGCTGTCACTGATAGCGCCGACCCTATGATGTATATTAGGAAATATAGACTAAATTTGTTGATTTGGTGTCTGTCGCCCGAAACCATTGCCCCAACCAATCGGACCGTTATTTTGTGTGTGAGAATCATAAGTATAATGTTTGCCCAGAATTTCAATTCCATAGTCGACAGCAAGTACTTGCGATAAAACACTTTGAGCTCAAAGTATGCAATCGGACGTATCATGTTATCTATGATTTTGGGAAATACAGAGTTTCTTTTAATTTCATCATTTACTAACGGCTCGTGTATTGAAATTGTGTGAATCATTCACTTTCTTGGCATTAGTCTAGGAAATACTGTAGTGATTAATAAAACATTCAATCGAAAGTGAATGGCAACAAAAATTGCTGTCAAATGTCTATTTGTCTGCATCAGGGTCTCTTAGAGATTGTTAGAATAAAAAGTTTTTTAAATAAACAAATAGCTATAAAACAAGTCATAACCAGATGTGAAAACAAAGATCTGTAAAAATATTGTGTTTTGTCTCGTATTGTTTGGGAAGGCATTAGATTTCAAATGAAATTTAAAGCACTTTTGCTGTTAATGGAAAGCACTTTGTGTTGTTTATATCACTTGATTCATGTGAATATTTTATACATAATTCACTAAAAACAATAAAAATAAACAAAAACATGGAATAGTTCATTGTATACATTCAATAGAAAAATATTAATAAATTTACAGTATATTTGTCTACAATTGTGAGACCCGTCCGGTGCGGTTAGGATCGGCTGTTAATCAAGGAGTTAATTATAATGAGTCAAGAATCGCTACATTTATTTCCTTTTTACTGATTTATAAGATATGTTTTATAAATTTATTTAGATGCCTATACCCAATGATTGGTGCGATTAGTAGTTATATTAAACTTATAATAAAATTTAATATAAATTGAGATTAGTTTAGGGATCAAAGAGTTATTGAAAATCAATGAAATGCTTATAAGAATATGAGATATTCTTGAAGACTGGTCTAACAGTTAATGAATGACTGTTTCTGTTGTATATTATATTAGTTGTAAACATAAAGACGTTAATATAAAACATAAAAGTCTTGTTGTTTAATTATAGTTAAGTGAATGTATTATAAAATCTCATTTAGCAACTTATAAGCCCTATGTTTGTCCGGACTTGGCGTAAATATAAGATAAAAGTTATTGATTTTTGTTATTTTTGACAATCTTTATCAAATTGAATAAACTGTAGGAATATGTGGTTAACAACACATTCACCAAATTTCATAACTCACATAACATTGAGATAAAATCAATGAAATGCTTATAAGAATATGAGATATTCTTGAAGACTGGTCTAACAGTTAATGAATGACTGTTTCTGTTGTATATTATATTAGTTGTAAACATAAAGACGTTAATATAAAACATAAAATGCTTGTTGTTTAATTATAGTTAAGTGAATGTATTATAAAATCTCATTTAGCAACTTATAAGTTATAAGTTATAACTCAATGCTCGCCCTATGTTTGTCCGGACTTCGCGTAAATATAAGATAAAAGTTATTGATTTTTGTTATTTTTGACAATCTTTATCAAATTGAATAAACTGTAGGAATATGTGGTTAACAACACATTCACCAAATTTCATAACTCACATAACATTGAGATTTAAATACAATTCGGGAAAAAAGTTGTTTACTATGAATATGAAAGCTATAGAGACTTTCCCCTCAATTTGATAGTCACTTTCAAGGTCTCATTATAATTAAAGTGATTTATATTTAATGCCTTAAACTGACTCCGGGTAGTCATTTGCACCAATACTCACGGCTCTGTGAGATTATATCGAAATACACACAAAACCGCTTATAATGAACGATTCATATTAAGGAACGGTATCCACGAATGTATGCAAAGGATTACCGATTAATTAATTCCTAATCCTTTGGTGTATTATAAAGGGGTTCACTAAAAGCCGGCTCTTATGCAATGCAATAAAAACTTTTAAAGTTGGTATTGTATTCCCAATGAGTTATTTTTAGTCTTTTTAGATATGTTTTTCTTTTTATTGCTAAAAACTTTGACTCCGAATTCAAGGCTAAAACAAAAACTTGAATTTCGTTGTAAACATTGAATGATAAGAAAATGTTGAGAATTGAATGACAATTAGAAAAATACAGAAAATCTGGAGCCTTTCACATGGAATTGTAGAAAAATATAATCATTTGTTTGGAAATATAATGAGGAAAATGTAGTACAGTATCGTAGGGCATAGCAATAAAGGAAAGGTAGTGTAAAATTCTGTGTAAAGCGATATTCAATCAAATTTATGGCTGAAAATGTGTTTTTAAATAATATTTTACTAATAAAAGCAAAATTTTAAACTTTTGCAAAACACGTTACGAAACATATAATTAAATTACAGGCACTTTATAGCATAATATTACGCAATGAAACACAATCTCAAATATATTAAACATTTTTTGCAACATTTTAGGCAAATATATGGCAGAAGATGTAAGATATTGCAAAATATTGATAACTTATACGAACTCTCGCTATAATCAAGTCATTTATAACCAGACCTACTGTTCAGTAAATAAATAAATTCAGACATTTTCATGATATAAAATGTGGTATAAAAATGCTGTTAAACTTTCAAAACAATATTTAGTTCCTATAAAACGCACACATAGAGACATAACAACCATAACCAGGACACAATCGATAGCATACCTCCACTGCAATGACAAACTTATATTGTATTGAATATTAAAAATCTATAATATTTTGTTTATTATATGGAGATTGAAGTGAATTAATTAGTTTATGATATGAATGAATGAAAACACATATAAAATACCGGAGTAATGGACAGTATGTATAAACACACTGAGTATGAAGACCAAGAATATAGTCGTCAGAATGAGTGATCGCTTTCTTTGTGTCCATAATTGGCAAAAGAGTCTCAAAAATCGATAAATAATATAAAAGCCAACAATTAGTGTGAATAATGAGAATAATATCCTAAATAGCGGACATCGAGTCAACTGCTCATCGATTACATAACATTTGCCAAAACTTGAGTTCATATAAATAGCCATTTAATAAAACATTGGTTTAGACTAATTGACGTAAAATATAATTAAACAAAATATAAATTTATTTATGAAATAAAAACGCATTTGTCATACAATTTCTATTGTAATAAATGAGTTTTACATTGTTTTGTGCGATAAGACATCGAAACAAACTTTAATTCATGCGATAAAAAGAAACTCAAGTTTCCATTGATTTATAGCTTATTTGATTCATTGAGTCAATAAAAACTAATCCAACGGAAAGACTTTTATTATTACATATTTGTTATGATATTCACTCAAAGTGTTGGTGTTAATAGTATTCACTAGCAAATTGTTCATGATATATGAATACATGACAAACATTTTCTAATTTTAATAAAAACCTTATCAATTATATTCTACTGTAGTAACTAATATCTAGTTCAATGAATTTAATTTACTAGTAATGAGTCTTTAAAAAATTATTTTGTTATTTATTAATTCAAATAAAATATTTCATAACAAATGATTCTGTAATAAAACTTTAAAATTGAATATAATTAACAGGTTTGTCAACATTTCTGGGGTTAGCCTCTGGGAGCACACATTCATCACAAACATATTTTATGACAATTGTTTGCCAAATGCTTGTGATTTATTTGTCATACAAAATAAAAATTTATAAAACAATTGCTGTATACGTGATCCTCGTCTTTATGAAAATGTATGAAATGAAAAACACTCTCATATATAGAGTATGCCATTCAAGACATAACAAACAAAATCGATGGCAAAGCTTCAAGAATTTTGTTGATTCCCAACTCAATGAATAGAATTGACTTAAGATATGGACAACAGATTGATTGAAAATTTCAACATTTTATTAAACAAATAGAGTTCGACATAAAAACACAATTACTGTTAGAATGGAAATACAATTCATATAAATATAATTTAACCAAAAGTGTTGAGACAATAGCGAGAAAGTGGAGACAAGAATACGAGTCAATTGAATGTGAAAACAAAAAGTTCTGTAAACAAAACAATTGATTGAAAGTTTTGTTTTCAATTAATGAGAGGACAATAAACTTAAAATAAACTAAAAAATATAAATCGATTTACAATTTAACACAAAAGCTATAAAAATGTTTATAAGTTTTAATACCTTAATAATAATATAAATCTATAGGTTTTGTGAATTTGCAAATAAATTATAATTAGCTAAATGTTACATTCATATCTCATTGACGGAATAAAAATGATTCACAAATTTTTATTATTAAATATTATTATTGTAATTACGGTAATAGATGTGAGAAAAAACTAATTCATAGTTTGCCTTAAAAATTGAGTCAAATATGTATCAAAAGATTGAAATACAATTTGCAAATATTTTTAGACAAAACCAAAAAACAAATTGATATTAATTCCAAACTTTTCTTAATATTTATTATTAATCGATTAGAAAACGGATTTATATTTGCTGTAAGAGATTGAAACAAAATACAGTATAAGAAATGAGTTAAAGTGTAAATAAATCCCATGAATGGCCGCAAATGATATAAGGATTCAGACTATTAGTACTGTTCACATAACTCAACGATATATAGAAATAAATTAAACTGAAATAACAAATAACACATAAAAATAAATCGATAGGCAGTCCCTAACCCTAAAACCACAGCTTCTGAAGTGAATGGGAATACCAATGACTGAACCCTAGACATTGTGGCCAGGTATGGGATGGGATGCAACTCAACATACATTGATCTCCTCGTCGTCGGAAACCTCGCCGAACTCGATGTCGACGTCGTCGTCCTCCTCGTCATTGAAAGTGACGGTATCATTGATTTTGGCCGACTCTGGCAGCTCTCCGTACGACTTCAGATTGCGTGCCTCATCCGGGTTGTACTTCAGGATCACATCGGCCTTCGCGTCCTGGTAGTCACGCAGACCCACCAGAATTATGTCACCCTGGTTGATCCATACCTGACAAACATAGCACATACAGTACACGTTATGCACAATATTTACCAATAAAACTAATTTAAGGCTAATTAGGTCTCAATTAAACCTAAATACTGTATATTATAGTAAGAAATTAATACCAAAAAATGAGATACCGGTATGAAAACTGGTACTTATTAGACAGAACACTTGATTAACAAACTACCGGTAAATGTTTTCATATATAAAGGGCAACTCATAAACTCACCGATTATTCATTAATTCAAGTATTGTCTGTAGTCTGCAGTCATTTGATTTGATTTCAATTCAATGAATATCTGATGTAATAATGACTCAAAGTATGTAAGACTTGACAACACTTGCAGTGAATGAACAATCGGTTATTGAAGTGACTGTTTGTGGCAAATGTGCACTCAATCAATACCGGTATGTCTTAAGTGCTAATAAATGGCAGATTTAGTTCATTTACAGTTAGTTAACTATAAAGACATTAATAATGATCATTAAAAATGAGATCAAATGAAGTGATAATAACTTTTTTGCGGAGTTTGCCTCTGATATGACACAAGCGTTTAATGC